TGATCGTAAAAATTGCAGATCAGGCAATTTTATTTTATTACTTGAATGTACAAATACTACGAGTAGTTTTCATAACTATTTGTGTTATAATTTATTAGACTATTTCTACATTCAACTATACGCTATTTCGTTGGTTTTTGTATTATTATTACAAAAAAGTGTAGGTAAATCATTTAACGCAAAAATTACATTCATTGTATTTTGTTTGTAGTATTGCTAGTGTTTGCAAACGTACCATAGTATATTTTGTTCTTGTACAAACAAAAATGAAACATATTTTGTAAACTAATAAAAAAGTTTGTTTTGCGATGCATTTTTAATGAACAGTTATTGATTATTAAATCGTGTTGGAGTAAAATATAAAATAAATTAAAAGTACACTATATAGATTATTGTTTCTATATAATATTTTAATAAAATATGATACTTTGGGAACCTCGTAGTAACGATTAAAGAAATTCAGTTTTTTATACTATAACTTACGGGTAATCAAATTCATATTTATTATAGAACCTCAATATCAATTTAAATATATACGTAGATATAGTGAGAGAGAGAGGATGAAGAAAAGAGGGGCAAATGCCTTCGGCAGAACAGGGTTCTAAAGTAGATAGATGCTGTATATAAGTGATGGAAATTTAAACTTTTTTGTTTTCATACCTGCATTAAATAAGGATACTGCTTTAGATCGTGCTTTAAAGAAATTATTAAACGTATTTCGACTTTCTTCACACACAAACAAAATATTTATAAATTGTCGAATTTTAGTTCTAGAAATCACTCATTATGTATTAAACAAAAAATTAATAACCTTAGCTGTTGATGTTTTTAAGTTCAATAAAAAAATATATATACATATATTTATTTTGTAGTTGTTTTATATATAATATAATCAATTATTTTCTGGTTTAAATATATTTTTAATAATTCATATGTATTAAGTACATTGAATATATTAAGTTTTCCAGAATTTAATCATTTTAATAAATTGATAATTTAGTAATAAAACTTATATTTATCACATAACTATCAACTTCACGGTGTCAGTTGATTATTATAAGTATATTCATATGATTTGTTTCTTTATAAGTTGGTTACCTATTTTAACTTATATTTCAGTATGAGTATTATTTATATTTATCTAAACTTTATTGATTATTATTTGTTATTTATTAAGATGGC